CAGAGTGCTTCAGCGTGTTTCAGCGTGTTTTAGAGTGCTTCAGCGTGTTTTACAGTGTTACAGAGTGCTTCAGCATGTTTCAGCGTGTTTTTTTGCATGCTTCAGCATGTTCTACAGTGTTACAGAGTGCTTCAGCGTGTGTCAGCGTGTTTTAGCGTGCTTCAGCGTGTTTTACAGTGTTACAGAGTGCTTCAGCGTATTTTAGCGTGCTTCAGCGTGTTTCAGTCTTACAGAGTGCTTTAGCGTGTTTCAGCGTGTTTTAGTGTGCTTCAGCGTCTTTTACAGTGTTACAGAGTGCTTCAGCGTGTTTCAGCGTGTTTTACCGTGCTTCAGCGTGTTTTACAGTGTTCCAGAGTGCTTCAGCGTGTTTCGGCGTGTTTTAGCGTGCTTCAGCGTGTTTCACAGTGTTCCAGTGTGCTTCATCGTGTTCCAGTGTGTTTCAGCATGCTTCAGCGTATTCCAGTCAAGGTGTGACAGGAGCTTAAAATGCTTCATGAGCTTAAAAGTAATTTCCCTCTGGGATTATTAAAGTTTTTCTGATTCTGATTCTAAAAATGCCTCAGCTTGTTTCAGTGTGTTTCGGCATACTTCAGCATGTCCCACCGTGTTTCAGCGTGTTTCAGCATGTTTCAGTGTGCTTCAGTGAGTTTCAGTGTGCTTCAGCGTGTTTCTGCGTGCTTCGGCATGTTTCAGCGTGCTTCAGCGCGTTTCAGCGTGTTTCAGAATGCTTCAGTGTTTATTAGTGTACTTCAGCGTGTTTCAGATAGCTTCAGCGTGTTTCAGCATGTTTTAGTGTGCTTCAGCATGTTTCAGAGTGTTTCTGTGTGCTTCAGCGTGTTTCAGTGTGTTCAAGCATGTTCCAGCGTCTTTCAGCATGCTTCAGTGTGCTTCAGCGTGTTTCAATGTGCTTCAGCGCGCTTCAGCGTGTGTCCGCGTGCTTCGCCAAGTTTCAGCGTGTTTCAGAATGCTTCAGTGTTTATTAGTGTGCTTCAGTGTGTTTCAGATAGCTTCAGCGTGTTTCAGCATGTTTTAGTGTGCTTAAGCATGTTTCAGAGTGTTTCTGTGTGCTTCAGCATGTTTCAGTGTGTTTAAGCGTGTTCCAGCGTCTTTCAGCATGCTTCAGTGTGCTTCAGCATGTTTCAGTGTGCTTCAGCGTGCTTCAGCGTGTTTCAGAATGCTTCAGTGTTTTT